ATTTTTAAGTGAAAAACCATTAGTTGAAATCACAATAGGGCAGTAATAAACAACTGTTGAATACTTACAGTACTAATACTAATGTTATACATTTTTCAGGTCAAAAAAAAGAAAAATGGAAACTTTGATATTTATTAAAATTTTAACAAAATTATTTTCTACCGATTCTCCCACGAAACGTGTGTATAGTTTACTTCGTACAAAAATACGTATAAACTTGTGTAAACAAAACAAAGAATTTACCAGATAAAAATTAATTTATATTCTTTGTCTTCAAGAGATATACCTACTTTATCACCTTCACGCAGTGATAAGTCACTTTTAGGCTATTACTATTGACGTAAAGTCTTTTATGATTAAAGTATTAAACGTATAAACAAGTTTTACTTAAATTTATTAGATTGAAAGATTGTTTAAAATAAAATTTATAGATAGCTAATATTAAAGATGTAAGTATAATATTACCTTTTTTTCCTTCTAGCTGTGTGATTGGACAAATTTTTCTCAACTAGTAAAATTGGAGCTTAACTGCTTTTTATTTATACTGAGCCTGCCTGAAAAATCGTTCATTTGAAAAAGAATGTTGTGATAAAAATAAAATTGTTCCAGCAATAACTTGTTTTTGATCCAAATGTTAGAAAAATAAAATGCAATTTTGATAATGCATGGAAAAAAGGATACACTTTTATACCTACGAGATATGTAATGAATTTCAAGAGAAAAGTTATTCCAGTCACAGTGACGGTCTACTCGTCCCTAAAATAAAGCCTCAGATTTTATTGAGCTATGTTTTTTTTTTTTTTAATAAACCGAGAAATAAGCCTTAAACAATCATCTCAAAATGATTATACTGCACTTTTTACGTGGAAATTACATCGGCGTGTGTTAAAAAAAAGAGCTACTGTAATGAAATTCTTAATACTTTGTCCATCACCGGATACCTGAAAGAATTTGCTGATTGTAATTTCAACTGAGTTAAGATGACACAAAAATATCGTTGACGGTGCAAACACGTAGTACAAAAGCAAAGGCTTCTCAGGCACCTCAATTTCGCGAAAAAAAAAAATCAATTTCATGTCACATCGAAAAAAAAAAAAAAAAAAATTATGAATTGTAAAAACCTATACTACTTTGTTCATGGCTCATATGCTAAATAATGCATGTTAAACAAGTGGGTATCATCTATGTATAATTTCTTTTCACGGTAGCGCAACAAATTTCCAAAAAGAAAATAATTTCAAAAGAAGTATATGTTTGCGCGTTAAATACGACTACTGTATAGCTTCTGCGATTGAGAGAGCGGACATTCTTGGACTATGGGTAGGTCCTTTATCGGCTGTCCCTTGATGTGGGGGCCATCAAACTTTATGAAGGAAGTGAACCCTATATTTTTATTACTTTATCACCACATAACTGAACGACCATAGGTACACGTATTTTAAGCTGTTTACTCGAAATATTAAGCACGTCGAAACACGTTAACAAGTGAAAAATTTGTATGGAAATTCCTGGAAAAATATTTCCATATACCTATGATACCTTCGCTGTACTTATCTCTCTATATTTCTTCGTCTAGCGGTCAGTTTGCTTATTTGTATAATGTGTTATCAGAGAAGTATGTATCTTTATGGCTCGCGGATGGGAACTTCCCGGTCATAATTTTAGCAAATCCTTAAAATATCGAATCAGATTTTTCATGGTGCAAGAATGTCAGAGCCTCGAGGGCAATTGTCCACATCCTGAGAGATACAAGGGGTCGGTCGTGTTGATTCGATTTCCGGCGAAAATTCCGGAAAATGTATTTCTTGGGCTTTTGCAATTATTTAGAAAATACCTGGAATGCCACGAATTACAAAATGAATGAATCAAGTGATCGATCGTTATATTTTTCCGAATGTATAGAAATTTAGTGAAAATTTTATATTCCTTACAATCAGATCTTTGAAGATATTTTAACGGATGCTGAAACTCTTAGAAATAAGTTGTTAATTCTGCCGTACGTATAATAAGTTTTTTTAGGTATTTCAGCACCCCCAATAGCTCTCAACCTATTTGGTAAAGAAGAACATTATTTATTTTTTTAACAATTATTATTAATTATCGACAGTTGACACTTGAATATTCCTAACAATCTTGTCGAAAAATGTTGAGAATTGCGCGGACTGACTGAGATGCATACAGGTGAATTTCTTTTTCGGAGCAACGAGTATATTCATCGAGCAAAACAACATTAGAAAAAGAAAGCCCCATTTTTATAAAAGATAAACACTGAATTTACATGGACAATAGACGTTGAAGTAAATTCTTACCCTCATTCGGGTAAAAATGTTGAACCTGCTCTCAAGTCGAATGATGAGTTTATTAAAATTCAGAAACTCCTTCAAAAAATTTTTGTACAACAGAGTTGTACAATCATAATTTCAGACACTTAAGCTTTAGCGCACCAAAGCTTCGAACATCATTGATATAAATCAGCAAAAAAAAAAAAAAATTTCAAAAATATTTTCGTATGGATTAAAAAAATGTCACAATCTTTTACGTACAAATAATTCTATTTAATTGTACCGCGTCTTGTATTAGCAAGTAAACGTATCTTACGTTATAAACAATTACCCTTGAATTGTTGATTTTCGAAGGCAAAAAACATAGTACTAGAATCCATAACTGCCGCAAACACATAAAAGGCGATCATTCATACACCCTCCACACCCCTCTGATCATCCATTGACGCCACAAAATAAACATGGAAATTGAGAGCTCAAACAGCAGTCAGCACGCCTCACTTATCGTATCGCCCGTCCGTTGAGTGACGGTGACCTGATCCTCTTCCAATATTACTTCCAACAGCGCACAAGAGCCAATCCTTCGTAATAAAAAAATAAACAATACTTTCTCTCATGGGACGCGATTTGAGTATATTTATGTATACATTCACTGCGTAGGAGTTTGTTTCTTTCCGTTTAAAATTTACTGAAACAAAATCAGTTCGAGCGCCCAATGGGAGGTCCATTTCGGGACCATTACAGTAGATTACGTGTACAGATAACCAGCTATCTCCTCCAACGACATGCCTAGGGCAGATGTATTGTACTCGATCCTTCTTTTTTATCGTCAACTTCATTTTATCGTATACTTACATGACGACGGTAAAAACGTGGATAAATGAGAGCTTTGCAGCTTCTCGGGATGAGCTGTGTATAAAGACAAGATGCGACGTCAAGTGGTTGAACATTTTAATGTATCGGTGTATCCAAGTAATATGATATTTTATTTTGTTTTTTCGTATTTGTGTGTCCTATCCGATGATCATAAGAATATAATATAACAACGCTGTTGGCACGTTTCGTAGACATCTATTTCCTTACTTATTGTAGTAATAATGTATAAACTGGCCATTTAATTTTTTTTTTTTAATGATTTTTAGTCGAGACTGAAGTATGTAGTGTACATCGTTAGTTTTCCAATTTACAAAAAAGACTTCTTCAATACAAAATAACTCAGCGTGTTGATAAACATTAATAATTAATATTTGCAATAAAAAAAATTTTTAAAAAGTTTATCCATCAGCGAAATTGCATCACATCCTTTTCCATNCCTTCACGCAGTGATAAGTCACTTTTAGGCTATTACTATTGACGTAAAGTCTTTTATGATTAAAGTATTAAACGTATAAACAAGTTTTACTTAAATTTATTAGATTGAAAGATTGTTTAAAATAAAATTTATAGATAGCTAATATTAAAGATGTAAGTATAATATTACCTTTTTTTCCTTCTAGCTGTGTGATTGGACAAATTTTTCTCAACTAGTAAAATTGGAGCTTAACTGCTTTTTATTTATACTGAGCCTGCCTGAAAAATCGTTCATTTGAAAAAGAATGTTGTGATAAAAATAAAATTGTTCCAGCAATAACTTGTTTTTGATCCAAATGTTAGAAAAATAAAATGCAATTTTGATAATGCATGGAAAAAAGGATACACTTTTATACCTACGAGATATGTAATGAATTTCAAGAGAAAAGTTATTCCAGTCACAGTGACGGTCTACTCGTCCCTAAAATAAAGCCTCAGATTTTATTGAGCTATGTTTTTTTTTTTTTTAATAAACCGAGAAATAAGCCTTAAACAATCATCTCAAAATGATTATACTGCACTTTTTACGTGGAAATTACATCGGCGTGTGTTAAAAAAAAGAGCTACTGTAATGAAATTCTTAATACTTTGTCCATCACCGGATACCTGAAAGAATTTGCTGATTGTAATTTCAACTGAGTTAAGATGACACAAAAATATCGTTGACGGTGCAAACACGTAGTACAAAAGCAAAGGCTTCTCAGGCACCTCAATTTCGCGAAAAAAAAAAATCAATTTCATGTCACATCGAAAAAGTGCCGTTATTTATTACTTGAGGCAATTTTTAAGAGTCCGAGTATTCGCTCTGTACTTACATACTGAGTTAATTGACCAAGTGAAAAAACCATCTGAAAAAAAAAAAAAAAAAATGTCTTTTTATTTTGCAGACTGTAAATTTTGATTTTTCAACAAGTTAACATCATTCAACTCTATCAAAAGCATTTTAATTAATATTCTTTGTATTATTTTTAGGATTACGGTTGTTATTTTTAAAAATTGTATGAAAATTTAAATAGCGCGCTGTACTTAGTGTCCTAAAGTGGCGTGTGGTGGCGTCATCCGCGTCACTTTTGCTGTCTGCTAGTCTGTACGAGTGTGCTTGGAGTGGAAAAGCTTGATTCTATCACTTTATTTTTAAAGTTTTTTTAATAAAACATAAGTGCATCATGATAATTTTATTGTAGAATAATCAGAATCATTGAAAAGAATTCTTGAAATCTTTTATTTCATTATACATCTTTATATATAAAATGTTTCGCGATTGTCGTGCTTGTGTACATATTTTTGGGAGTGACATAACCTCGAATGATTGTTTACCTGTTTACGCATATTTCTAAATAAACTTTATTAGTTATTCAATAAAGGTACATGTTAACTAATTTAAATATAATTTTATAAACAACATTTTAAAATAAATGCATTTGTTATTGATATTGTGTGTTAAGCAGAATGAGTGCAATTCACAATGTGTGGAAAGAGAAGAGCCCTTCTGCATGTTATACGTTCTTACAAATTTATTGTAAATAATACATCAAACATTGAAGATCGAAAAATACCTTGAAGCAAAGTCTTTGAAGCATGCCAATTTGGACTAACTACTTTAGATATTTTCGTCGACGGACAATACTTGTGATTATTTGTCTCTTATTGTTTATGTACTTTTTAATCAGTTTATTGCTTTATGAGGTTTGTATCATTCTTGATGATTGATTGAAATAATTCTTGTTAAATTGTAAACTGAAAAATGAAATTTTGTCCGCAGAAAAAAGGACTAGCACTTGGAAATGATTTCGATGATATGGATAATATGAATTTTGGGGAAAATAGCAATGACATTTTCAACGATGAAGATGGATTGGAAGAGGTGGCTAGACCCTCTGACAGACCGTTGTTGTGGCAAATGGAGGTGATGAATGATATTGGGAATGCCATTTCTGCAGAGATTCCCTTTGTAGATAGCGTTAATGATAATGATACTTTTGTAAAAAGTTGTCGTAACTCAGTTCAAGTACGGTACACCAATTCCTATGCGACTTAAGTGATGGTTGAAAACAAACAATCAATTTTTTAAATGTTTCAGGGCAAGTTTCTAATTGTTGATGAACAGGGTTACTTGTGTACTACATACAATGTACTTCCTAATGGCTGTTGTAATCCTCATGAATTAGAAAAAACTGCGATGTTATCAAACTCAGTGCCTTTGATAGAAAAAATCAGGTATCCTTGCACATCATGTAATCCCCAAGGGTGCTGTGAAATATATGAATACTGCGTTTCTTGCTGCCTTGATCCTAACAAGGTAATCTTTATTCAATCAAACATAACAATTTCAAATAAATATTTAAATATTTAGACTAATTACAAACTTATTTAAAAATTTTAAAACTACACCACATTTCATTTACTTATATCGATATTGTTGCCCTGAAACGGTACGGTTAGTCAAAAGATGCCACAATTTACGTCACATTCTGAGCATGAAGACTAAACTATGTATTTTACATTTTTAAGTGAAAAACCATTAGTTGAAATCACAATAGGGCAGTAATAAACAACTGTTGAATACTTACAGTACTAATACTAATGTTATACATTTTTCAGGTCAAAAAAAAGAAAAATTTAATATGGTCCATAACTTTTCGCGCAAAAAATCAGTTACCCCCAAAAATGGCCATTTTATATCATTTAATCAAAAGAATTGTAGGAAAAACTTATTGCGGGACTAAAGTGTCTGCCTATCTGGTTTTTGTTTCCTCTGCATTTCCGCAATCTCCATAGATGTTAAAGACAAAGGCAACAAAGCCCTTACTTTCTTTACGCTTATCGCAGCAAAACTGAGTATTCGTTGAGTCGTTACAAGGTTTTATATTTACCAACCATACGGACACCAACACATTATGTTTATGAAAAAAAATTTAGCTCGGGCATTCCGTACCAATTTTTGTGGTCAGGGGTGCTCGTGCTACTTATTGGAAAAAAATATTTACGAGTGCGAGAATGAGTATAATTGATGATATAAGCGTAAAGCAGTAGAAAAATTGTTAACTAAATAGAAATATAATCCTAGAGGCTTATTTAACCATGGAAGAGAACAACTTAATTTTGTCGTAAAAGTGGTGGTGTAAAATAGACGCATTGGGATCGACTTTTTTTTGCCCAACTGTACTGTAATACCTTCCACCTTTTCTCTGCCTTCTAGACTTGATAAGTTTGTTCTAATTATACCTATGTTTTTAGGTGGGATGATCAGTTGGTTGATGGTAATATGTTATTTTCACATATGATAGGCTTAAATTCAGTTAACGCATATCATGTCAGCCGAGGTTTTTGAAACAATACTCTTGTATTACTAAATAGTTATACTTTTAAGCTTAACTCTTATTTTATGCATTTAGCTCTGCGTCACAAATCCACATCGGACGTGCCTTAACTGCTGAAATTTAGTCTTTTTCGATTTCATTTTGCTTTAATTAAATTATTAAAAAAAAAAAAAAAAACTTTTCTGCCCAAAAACCTTTGGTAATTACAAAACTAACGAAGCCGTATATCTTTCCAATTTGCCATTTATTATAATTTATTATAAATCCTCTTTTTATCCGATGTAAACTTCTATACAATAAATAGAATTTTTCATCCTAAAAGTGACACGCAAGCGCCGCATCCAAAGCCAGTAACGATAAGTATTATAACACGCATATGAAAATAATGCTTTTTCCAGCGACTCGAACGTAATGTGTGTCCTAAATATTAATTACCCTGACGACATTTAACGAGAAAATAATGGAAGAGAAGAAACAACACCTCACAGCTAAGTAAAGATAGCATTATCTACGTTTGCTGTTAGCTTTGGAAAAGCTTATCCGGCCTTTTCGTTGATGGTCGTGCCCTTATCAATCGATTACTTTACTTTTCTCTTTATTTCGTCACCCAAGGTGTCTACGAGCCGTTAACCAACCCCTTGCGCGTTCAAATTTGTGAGAAGGTTGTATACCATTGTTTAACTTAAAAACTGCCGTTTCGTCCAAAAAAATAGCAATACTTTGCCATTATTTCATATTATGATACGATGCGATGATAATAATTTTAAATTAAAAAAAAAAAAATTGAAAGTTGCAAGCGATAGTCTCGAATAGTATGTTAGGTATGTATTTTATGCGTGTAAGGAATGTGTACACACGCATATAATTCTATCCTAACTTTTTTTTTGTTCTCTTCCCTATTATAAGCAAATCAATAACTTCCAAAGTTGAGATGCCATAAATTCCGGAACTCACGATGATAGCGAATGAAGAATGTCTTTTGAAAAATCCTAAATTACTCTATTAACGATTATAACGGATAAGAACTTTTTTAGCATAATGATTATGTTTGTCCGAGCTGACGATTAACTGTATCGTATCTCGTTTTGGGTAAGAGTTAACGATAAAATGATTGATGGCGCTTAAAACAAATTTTAACTTGAGCGGTGTTTTCGTAAATACTGTTGATCAGAACGGAAATTACGGGACATTTTCGTTCCAGTTTAAAAATCTTAATTCTCCTGGTGAGACAAAAGTATATCAAAGCAACGCATCAATAGATAAGTGCCCTTTATGTACACTTACATTAATAATTTCCACGCAATGCAGAAATTTGAAATTACATCAATTTAGCTTACATAAAAAAAAAAAAAAAAAAAAAAGATAAGAAAATAAACGTATGGCAAGTTAAAATTTCCAAGAGTCAAACAAAAATATCTTTTAATTAACACGCTGCTTAACATGCCCTCGCTGATACCCTAGACGCTGACTTTCATTAAATGTATATATATAGTTTAAATTCCATCCTCGAGATACGAGCTTCAGCCGGAATATAATACGCGGCTTTTATTTCTGTATATGTACGTACATCGCTGTCGTGCTATAATAAAACGGTGTAACCTTAGACGTCGTTCGATCTCAACAAAACTCTGAGACAGACTCCGGAAAAATAACTAGCCGTCCATTTCTGATTCATGCAGGGTTGAGCTGTCGCTTGTGACATTCGTATACGAAAGCTGGACTTTGATAAGTACTGGAGGGCGTTGTTCACAAGCTTTTTTTTCTCTAGTTCGTGAGAAATGAGAAAAATTAAAAAATGATTCGTTAGGAAATATCTGAGTATATTAAACTAGAAAATCTATTTTTTTTAAACACACGTTTCATGTAAACCTTGTGATTACTTTGTGAATGAAAAAATTTACTTTTTACTAAAAAAAAAAAAAGCCTCACTGTCGTAAAAAAATGATGAGTTTATTAAAATTCAGAAACTCCTTCAAAAAATTTTTGTACAACAGAGTTGTACAATCATAATTTCAGACACTTAAGCTTTAGCTAATATGGTCCATAACTTTTCGCGCAAAAAATCAGTTACCCCCAAAAATGGCCATTTTATATCATTTAATCAAAAGAATTGTAGGAAAAACTTATTGCGGGACTAAAGTGTCTGCCTATCTGGTTTTTGTTTCCTCTGCATTTCCGCAATCTCCATAGATGTTAAAGACAAAGGCAACAAAGCCCTTACTTTCTTTACGCTTATCGCAGCAAAACTGAGTATTCGTTGAGTCGTTACAAGGTTTTATATTTACCAACCATACGGACACCAACACATTATGTTTATGAAAAAAAATTTAGCTCGGGCATTCCGTACCAATTTTTGTGGTCAGGGGTGCTCGTGCTACTTATTGGAAAAAAATATTTACGAGTGCGAGAATGAGTATAATTGATGATATAAGCGTAAAGCAGTAGAAAAATTGTTAACTAAATAGAAATATAATCCTAGAGGCTTATTTAACCATGGAAGAGAACAACTTAATTTTGTCGTAAAAGTGGTGGTGTAAAATAGACGCATTGGGATCGACTTTTTTTTGCCCAACTGTACTGTAATACCTTCCACCTTTTCTCTGCCTTCTAGACTTGATAAGTTTGTTCTAATTATACCTATGTTTTTAGGTGGGATGATCAGTTGGTTGATGGTAATATGTTATTTTCACATATGATAGGCTTANATGTATTGTACTCGATCCTTCTTTTTTATCGTCAACTTCATTTTATCGTATACTTACATGACGACGGTAAAAACGTGGATAAATGAGAGCTTTGCAGCTTCTCGGGATGAGCTGTGTATAAAGACAAGATGCGACGTCAAGTGGTTGAACATTTTAATGTATCGGTGTATCCAAGTAATATGATATTTTATTTTGTTTTTTCGTATTTGTGTGTCCTATCCGATGATCATAAGAATATAATATAACAACGCTGTTGGCACGTTTCGTAGACATCTATTTCCTTACTTATTGTAGTAATAATGTATAAACTGGCCATTTAATTTTTTTTTTTTAATGATTTTTAGTCGAGACTGAAGTATGTAGTGTACATCGTTAGTTTTCCAATTTACAAAAAAGACTTCTTCAATACAAAATAACTCAGCGTGTTGATAAACATTAATAATTAATATTTGCAATAAAAAAAATTTTTAAAAAGTTTATCCATCAGCGAAATTGCATCACATCCTTTTCCATGCACCTTTCATCAAACAAGACATTCCCATGTACTAATCGCGTGATTAAAAACCAGTTAACATTGTTGGAAAAAATAGGAAAGCCTGTAAAAAACAAAAAATATCGAAAACAATGTAAAATATTGCTTATCAACATTTTCTTACGACTTGCTTGTACCTGTTTCGAGTATCTGCTCGTCCAATTCTGCCGATGAGTCACTGGATGACTCAGTAGTTCGGATAGTGCGTGTTCGCCATCGCGTTACTTGCATTCGATCACGCATTAGTGGGTGGCAAGGCGTAAGGATAACGATTTTATGATATAGGGAAGTTTTTTCCACCCGAAAATGCTTTGGTACGTGAGTCACACATTAAAAAAAAAATATGTAAAAAATTATTAATACCATTCGCAAATCCATACGATGTATCATCCAAATCACTACTTTTTCTCATTTGTAGGTATATGTATTACAAGTTTTAATATTTTTACGTTTCTATAATAACTATTATTCAATCGAGAGCTAGCTCGGGTAAACGTCGGCGCGACGTGTGTGGATAAAAAAAAAAAACTAGCAAATTAATATCATCAGTCTCGTGCAATAATATTCTATGGTAATAAATCTTTCTCCCGCATAAACAACGTACCAGTAGTTTACACGTGTACTCTCTATACCAACCACTTTTTGTGTGGTCCGTCAGGCGAGGGTGTCGCGCTGACCATAACTGGCCCATCGAAACTCTTTTAACCCTTTTGCTCTCATACACGCTTAGAAGGCACATTGTACATCCATACTGCCGAATATAGCACACGAACACCCCGACAATGGCATTCTTTGCCCCTTGACATATGGCTCGGTTACTCGTGAGTATGCTCTCCCAAATTTGGTTGTTTTACGCGAGGTGACGAAGGGTATAAGTATCTAGTCAGAGGGGAGCGCGCTCGCAGGTATACGTAAAGGGACATCGAACATATATATGACGGCTCGACAACACGCGATTCTTTTTTTCCCCACGTACAGGGTCATTTACTCCACAAGTGAAAGCAGTGTGCTTGTTGTGAATATAATATTATGCACTTTGCGTGATATTTTGATAT